TATTTTAGGAGTTTTATGGGGAATTTGTCTGTTTGAATAAAGAATTTACCATTAATATCTTCGAAAATTTACATTTCACATCAAATACTCACGTTGAACTTCCAAAAAAATCATATACAAATGAACAGAATGAATAAAACTAAACAGAAAGTGTTGCTATCAACATTTCGAAACATTTGAAATTTTACATAACAAAGCGTACATAAAGTAAATTTTTTGGACATCTCATCAGCACCCGGTCAATCTCTCTAAAGACATTTTGTCTAACGTCAGTTTGCCTAAAGACGCATTACTTAACAGACAGTTTGCCTAACTTACGGTTTTTTAATGGATATTTCGCCTAATAGGCAAACTGTTCCTTAGGCAAACTGTCGTTAGGCAAACTGTCGTCAGGCAAAATGTCTAGGCAGATTGACGGGTCACGCACATCTCACTGATAATTATTTTACGAAGTGATCAAGACATTAGTCACAATGCATTGATAGCAGACAAAGTGATTCTGATACAATGAAATTTGAGTAATATATAACGTGCGGCAATTTTTTTGCAATATTTTTTCCATTGGGCAGTATTGAAGAGTGACTCAAAACCTCTGTGCTTGCCGGTACCCAGTCAATCTGCCTAAAGATATTTAACTTAACGACAGTTTGCCTATTAGGCGAAATATCCATTAAAAAACCGTAAGTTAGGCAAACTGTCCGTTAGGCAGTGTGTCTTTGGGCAAACTGCCGTTAGGCTGAATTTCTTTAAGCAGATTGGCCGGTCACGGTGCTTGCCAAATCAATGGTCGAATTCAGAAATTCATGAAGACAGATGATTCCCAGCTCTTATTGGTAGTTGCGCGGAGCGAAAGATGTCGAGGAAGGAAGAATGTGATATTAGTGATATTGGTGATAACAGAGAGAGGCATAAACTCGGAATGAGTTGCAATCGCTGATCAAATAAATAAATAAGTTTATTCAAATCTAGAACATCTCTATTAAACAGTACAACGAATATCAAACGGTTTGCAAAATGATTATCACAATCGCAGCTAATAAGAGTGGGGCACGTATTTTTACACTTTGAGCGGTGCATGACGGGTTAGATTCCTGTAAATTTAGATTCTTCGAAATTTTCGTCAGATTCCTAAATGATTGCTTTCCGGCCGGAAAATTCTGTTCAAGTGGAACAGAATTGTATCGATAGAAACAGATTGACCGAGTAAAATTTATTATAGCTCAGCAATCAGGCGATTCCAAAATTCTCCAATCTCATACTGTCATTATTTTTATTTAGAATGCTGGTTAAGATAAGTGATTGTGGAGGATTATGAAAAATGAATGAGTAAAATTGCGATATTGATGATAATTTCAAACTAAATCCTGAATTCACTTCAAAAAAAGCCCTTTCTATTTTTTAAAAACAAACCTGAGGATGAATTCTTGTATAATCAAGATCCTGACGGCGTCGACGATACATTGGTGTCATACGTTCACATTCCGATACTGTAATAATGACAGTCACTCTATTTACTATCTGCATTATATACTGTATTAATTGATCAACCAATCACGAAATCCGCTTAGCGTACTAGGCGATTTTCGGTTGAATATGGGATAGTTTAGCACCGAATCGGGGATTTTCTATCAGATTTAAGATTTTTCAATAGTATTAACTTGAAGATCTCTAGAAATCTTCGATTGTTTCGAAGGATTTGACTTCATATGATCATCCTGGATTTACATGTGGATTTACCTCTTCAATCACGGGTCAATTATGTACATTTTCAATCTAAATTTCATAGCTCATCAACTGAATTCAATAAAGACTTATGAATTTGTGTGAACTTACTGCGTCTTGGTGTGAAACTATGTGCACTCTTTTTTGTCAAATTTGCACACGCATTATCGGTGAGAAACAGATGAAGTGATGCATCTGGGAATGGCATTATTTGAATTTCCCTTAAATTTAGCATCCAGTTATTCACTCAAGCATAACTTACATGGTCCATCATTCAATATTGCGCTAACTTTTTGTATGTTCTCTTCGAAAATTTCATTAAGTTGATGAAATATCACATAAAATTCGATTATTATGCATGGTTGATTAACGATGTTCATTGGTCGTCAAGTCCAGTCAATTCATCGAATGTCACTGCGCACTGGTGGGAGTCATTTCGACTCATAAATAATTGAAAATTTTAATCCGCACATAATTTTGCCATAAAATTTGAGAATACTGAATGAATCGAATTTGAGAATTCAGTGCAATTCATCGATCACCTTGAACAAACACCATCGTTGAGCATGAAATTGTGCTTTTCGGTGAGCGTTATCTCGTAGATTGAATACTCCAAAGAGCATATCTCTCGATGTTTGATCCTCGAGAATTGACACGTTCCACCGACCATTATTGGTTGTGTAAGAGCACCTCGGATCGTTGCCGTCACCAATAACCAGATATCCAACCTTAATGAAAGCAATTTCATTCAGCAATCAATCACTCATCTTATAATACCCTATCCAGATTAGTGACATTTCTATTCCCCACTTTTTGCAAACTCTTTGCAAACAAACTTTGCAAATTTGCAAAGTTCTACGCCTCTCTTCAGTTCCGTTCTGTTTTTTGACCTTTTTTAGAAATGTCCAATTATTTTGTTCGAATAGAATATAAGTATAAAAAGACTTCGAGTTTCGCAAAAACGATCGATCATGCCGATTTCAGATCAATCAGCATGAGCAATAGCGTCAGTCGCCTAAAAACTGCGGCATGCCTGATCAGAACAGTTTGAGCGGAAACAGAACCGTCACTAGTCGGAACTGATCTCATGTAACGAAACTTTGATTCTATAAATTCTATAAATTGTAATCGATGTGATTTGAAAGTTTGGTCGTATCACTGAGCTTTTTAAAGAGCGATACACGAAGCATTAGTATAAGGTATTTGTTGTGTCAAAGGTGAGGAGTTACCAGAACGTGCTAGTGAGAAGTTTTGTGAGACGAAATAAGAGTGTGGTGAANTGATTACTTTGCAGTATCAGGTTTCCGTATATCCATATCAAACTAGGGGTAGATTATGTTACTGTATCTGTCAGGAAGTTCGCTCAGAATTCTTGTGGAATTCTTAAAATTCGTGAGATTGTTTCGTTGATGTTCAGCATAGAGATTTGGATTTCGCTAATCCATGGAGGTGATAAAGTTTAGCTTTCTTAAGTATTGACATGAGAAAAGGGTACGAGGACAGCTGTAAAATCAATTAGATAACTGAGGGAACATAAGAGGTCATTAACGAGTTTGATTATTAGTTCTTAGCAAATCAAAAGCTTAAAATCTTTGATTTAAAAGAAATTTCTGAAAGATGTGAAAATTTCAAACTTTTTAATCATTCGTTTTTTGATCATATAATCGAAAAGTAGTGCATCTGCAGATGATAGGTGTTGTTGTGAGTACTTGCCAGCCACAATGAAGCCATCCGACAGCACTAAGTGACAGCTCTTTTTCAACTGAAAAAATAAAGACATTCGAATTACAATTCGAAAATTATGCATTTCAATAGAAAGAATTTCATTTTCAGTTAAAATTTTTTGAAGGTTTCAGGGGTGTTACAATAGATGTGGATACTGGAGATTCCACAATATCGCATTTTATTTCTTCCCGATTTCTATGGATATCATTCGTTTCTACGGATTCATAACTTGCGGGCAATCACAATTTTTGTATTTATTCATGTTAGAAGTACCACATCGAAACATTTAATCTTTTATTTATTATGACAGAGTGTCAATTACTGTAAGAATGTTGCTGGTGTTAACAGACAGAATTACTGAAAAAGGAGCACAGTACTGTTAAATACAGATTACGGAAAAACTGATATTACAGTAACAGCCAGTAAATCATATTACGGTGAGCATTCCAACCTGATAGCATACAGCCCATTCAGGACGGTGGGCAGTGATATTATAGAAGAAACGATCGATGAATTCGGTGGTCCATTGAACACCACCAACAGCCAATCGTCTCGAATAGACCGAATCAAAAATCTGCTTGTAAGCAGTTATTGTGATCTTATTGTTATCGTTGAAAGCGAACAATTTGAGTTTGCTTGATGGTTTCGGATATCGCTCCAGCTCCAGTACATCCGCTATTGGAAGAAGCGATTCGAAGTTGCTAAAATTTTAAGTTCAGATGCGTGAATGCTCTACTAACAAGACTGAACTTCAATAAAGTTCCAGCTATCCTTGAAATCCTCTTATTATCTCATTATCAATAAGTGATAAATTGAGTTTTAATGCTTTAATGCCTTTCCGCAAGGTTGATTGCAATAAATGGACTTAACGAGCCGCTTCAGACAATTAGTCCTTATAACTAACAGAACTGTTAATGACTAAACATCTCAGTCCCCCTTATGGAAAGCTTTAAGGATCAAGTTTCAGATTGCAGCTACAACCGTCTGATTGTCGCGACGGAGCACGAGCGATACCATTCAGTAGGCAGACCAAAGTGATCTATGGACAGAATGGATATACGAATTGCATGATGAAATAGAATATTTGTATGTACTGTTGGATGATCGTCTTATCCCTTTCTGCTTGCATAGTCGTCTTATACTGCCTTATTGGTTCGGATGATGGAATGGAACTAATGTATGCACTGCTTGGATGACTTTATCCCTTTGTGATTCTATGATATTAATACTTTGTGTTTCGATAACATGATTTAGTGTTATTGCAAATAAACGCCGAAACTGACTAACAAAGGTCAAATAAGCGATCAAAATTGCGAATTACCAACCATTTGGGATAAAACGCTGTAATATGATTGAAAGTATTGACGAATGAAGTGATATGATAAAGCGGATCGAAATTCGGTGGCAGTGGATTAGTTTCGCACGTTTCATTTTCGCCCAAATCTGGCCAACTTTCTGTCCAATTATTCAAGGTCACCACCAGTGCATACGGCAAATTCGTATCCATCTCGCATTTACGAGCCTCCAAGAAGGCGTTGAAACGTTCGGTCATATCCACATGATCCAAGTCACCACGACAAAGACCACTGCAAAACAAATACTGGCTTGAGAAAATAGCTGCTAGCGTTATGGTGCGGTGTGCTACCTCAATGACCAGCAATATCCATGTGGTGATTGCTTATGTCAAATCCAAATGTTTCATAACTTCATAGGTTTCGACTCAATCAATTTGAAAAAGTGACTGATCATTTGATAAGAAATGATCGTATGCAGGCGTGAAAATGACCACTCTTAAGAAACTTTTGAGGTGGCGATTAAAAATTCATGATCAAGATTGCAAATGATTCAAACCGATGGTTGATCGAGATTCAGAAATATCTTCAAGATTATATTTTCAAGATCAGTTCTGAAGTATGCTATTTATCGAGAATTCATGAGAAAATTCATTTGCAAGGCATTCTGCAAAGTATTTTTTGGCCAGGATGATGAAAGAAACCGTTTCGGAACGTAGTGTCCCACAAGGGCTTTGTTCGGGTTCTGTGGACGTTCCACTCCACCGCTCAAGACAGTAATGCTACGGTCCTTGAAGGCCACAAAGCCAATCGTGAGTGGAGTGCCTTTAACGCTTCGACACCAGTACTCTCGAGTTCCCTGAAAGTTTTGCAATTCATTTATTTGGTCTCTGAAAAACTGGACTTGATTTCAAGTCAAAGTTGTAAAATCCTTTCTTGAAGTAGTTACCGACCCGTTTTGAAGGAATCAAAGAAATTAAACTTTGAAGATTAAAAAATTTCAAAAACCCACATCAAGTAGCGGTGCACGGCTACAGTTTCGATCGATCATCATTCTGCGAAACTTTCGAAATATTTTCGAATCTCTTTCCAGTTCGATCTGCAATAAATTTGCATTCAGCAAACTATCGCATGAAGAAATGAGCTCAAATTTTTCATGTGTTATGATACAATTTCACTAGCTAGATACTTCCTTAACAAAACAAAAATCCTGACAAATAAAAATGTCATTGAATGTCATCTATCATTTTGCAGCATCATCCAATCAAATATTCAGTATATTTCCAGGTTCTATAATACTTCTATTGATCCCTTTCAAAGTGAAAAGACTGAAGGAGGATCAAGTCTGTAAGAAAACTAACAATATCGATTGTGAATATTGAATCTAAAAGACCCATCAGTCTCAGAACCCTTTCGTCAGCTTCACCGAATTGAATACGACCTCCACCACGTGAACGAGAACGCTTATCGTAGCACGCCGTTCGACGTACCGAATACACCTCCGTTTTCTGCAATCAAACAACCGAGTTTCTATTCGCTGACCAGATGGCTGATGAGTTAAGCACAAGTTGATTCATAATATAGACCGAATGGCACTTTATCAGATTCTTGTCAAAAAGTAAATAAATTTTCTGAGTGCTAGAGCAGCTAACATTGGAATTTTATATATCTTATAAATGATCTGCAGATTTGCTCAAACATGCATAAAATCATATATCTGTACGATGATGAGAGATATAGCGATTAGTTTTGATCGATGCTATGGTTATTTTGAGCTTTAACTTGGCGATTTCATGGTATCACATTGCTGTTGTGGCTGGTTGAATTCTTGAATTCTTACCGGTATTTTCAGCCTAGGATGATAGAGAGCGATTCCGTTGTTGTTCACAATAAACGCATACATTTGCTCATGTTCAGGTAAGATCTTAGCAATTTGTTTGAAACGTATATCAATACCAGCTACACCCAACACTCCACTGCCACTCGCATTCTCCATTGTGTTCAGAATTGGCATCGAGACTGTTAAAGTTGGCCCCGAACCTTGACTGTCCATTAGTGGGGTTACCCTGAAACGCGTCATATATTTGAATGAGATCGTGAAAGTTTCGAGTTTTGCACATGATTCGCTACAAAGAGGCCTTATGAATTCAAATAATGGTAAGATATTCCACTCATGAATTTAGTTCTATCATAAAACTGTTTTCGCAGTCAAAATTCGTTGTCTCAATAGTCTCAATATTTGAAGAACGTGCGTCTAGTCAATTCAACAACCTGTTGTCCAATTTAGCAGATCCTATTTAGTGCGGAGCAGGAATTGTAAAATTACTTAAGTTCTAATTGATAACTCAATTCCGTTAGCATATCAAATTAATGACAACCCATCTGAAGAAGTGGTTTCATTCATGAATATCGCACGGTAACGATCAAAACATTATTCACCAACGAACTCAATCTTCAGTTTGCTCTCGAAAAAACTAAACTGGAAAATTCACCATGTGACGGGACGTGCCGACGGCGGATTGTTCGCATAGGCGATTGCGAGAACATTCGAAAGTTTCTTTAAATAAGACACGGATTGACGTTTAACGTCTGATATGGAATCAACGATTGCATACGATGCGTTCGTATGACACGCGATATAGGCGAGTGCTGGCATCGGTCCTGTGCCGTAACCCATCGAAAAACCAAATACACGAATCTGTAAATGAAGTAATAACACCGCAAATTCTGTTGATCCACTGTCATAAAGATGATCAATCAAGCATTTAATGAATAAAACTGTGCAAAGAAGTTCACAGGGTGTCAGCCTAGAATCGGAAAACGAAGTCGGGGTCGACCGAAATGAGATGGGGAGGCAATAGTGCAAAATAGCCAGACAAATACGGTTGAGAAGAGCAATTAACTGTGATAATAGTGAGAGCTGGAGAGATCTTGAAGAGGTTTATGTGCGAAACGCATAAACCTCTTGACTAGCTGAGTAAATAAATAAATAAAATTGAATATGAGTCTGGGCCAACAAGTTTCAGTTAGTTTGAAACATTAAATGGTAACAGTTCAATAAAAAGTTATAAATCATCATAACAATTATCATTATTCTATTCTTTCCGCAGGTATCATTATCGACTCAGCGGTGAATTCATAAGATCATTGAATTCATAAGTCGAGATTATAATAGAATGGCACGACTGGAAGAAGAGGATGCTCGAAGATGAGGAATATTTCTGGATGTAATTAATTACGACAGCAAGAAACGATGGATGCAAAGATATCCAGTTGATGAGAAAAGTTTATACGATTGAAATGAATCATTAGTGTGATTGCTAAATAACTATCACTTTCGGGTTCGAAAGGTGTACCGAATGGGAAATTTACGTGGAAATTTTAGAATTTGAAAACTTTCGACGGGAAGATCTATTTGAATTGGAATAATGGATACCGGATCGGTGGATTGCAATGATTTTCGACTGTTAATCACACCAATTGGCCATTCTTCGACACCGTCAGTGAAGAGCATTATCAGTTTATGACCACCACTTCCTGTGTCACCATGGCGTTCGTCTTCTTTCCAGATTTCGGTGACATTCAAATCACCTCTCTGAAGCAAACATTCTCTTTTAGATGAACAATGCAAAAGAATATTGTTATCGGAGAGAACTGAAAAATTTAAGTCGAGGATGAGAAGTCGCTATAAATCATCTAATGATTTTGCCATCTTCGCTTGAAAATGCATATTTTGAAAGCTCAGAACTTGTTTCTGATCGTTTCGATCATAAAAATCGTATGGCATGAAAAAACTGCTCTTCAATCAGAGGAATTGAGATGATATTGCTTCAGAATGTTGCGGTCAACTGAACTACGTACCTTGGTGAATAGAGAAAAGCTTAAATTAAGCGCTGGCACCAATTGAGCTTGGTCTCGTTCATCAATCCGTTCCAAATACTTTCGTAAAATCTGAAATATTTTTGATGGAAATTTTGAGTTGTCGCGACGGAGCGCGAAAGAGACGATTCGTGAGGGACACCAAAGTGATATATAAATTCAACCTTTAGATCTGTACGTTAGCTGTATATGTATAAGATATACACGGATATCATGCACTATCGATTCGGATGATGAAATGTAACTTTCGTATATCTCACCTGGAGGATCTCCTCCCTTTTGTGTTTGTATGATATGAATGCTTCGTATTTTGATAATATAGGACAGTGTTGTTACAAGAATAACACCGAAAGGAATTGCAAATTTTTGTGAGAAGGGGATGGATGCAGTTTTTACCCGAAGATATGGGTTGCAGCTGCTAGAGCAGATATGGTTTCCTATAAACTCCGAATCACTGACATATGCTATGCTGGAATTTGAACCACTCCAAACAATAAGCTTTTTCGGGATCACTGTAAATTTGGAAAAGCTCATTGCTTATTTAATCTCCTCCTTGTTTATTCCATACGATGGAAAACACTTGAAGTGTGGCCGCGTGGCGCAATGGACAACGCGTCGGTCTACGGAACCGAAGATTGCAGGTTCGACTCCTGCCGCGGTCGAAATTTTTGCTTCCTCTGAGTTTTCAGATTCAGTTTTGCTACTACTTTTCACTGATTCATTTCGTTGTCATCATTTTTCTCTATTAATTTTAATACGATTCTGTTGAACAGCCGCCTCATTTAATGCAGTTAATTGTCCATTGAAGTCGTTGAAATTGCAAATTTCCAGATTTCAAAACTACCTTCAAGCCACTTAGCTATCATCGTTATTAGTGTTAACTATTGAAATTTTAACGTAAGTATGAGAACTAGCAATTCCTGTTACTTCTATGGACGAAAACTGTTGACCACAGACCATAATTTCAGCTTTTCCCAATTGCGCTCCAATTCTTATTTCATCAACTATCTCTGTCGTGAATAGAGATATTCACGAAATTTTTGTGATTCACCTTCGTTATGTAATATTCATTCTTTATCAAATCACTCTATCTTATTTATGAATATATCTAAACAAATTGCACTTTGTAATATACACCACGTCATTCTTATAACATCATCTCACCTTATTACACCTTAATCGCACTTATATTTTTAATACATAATTCTGTTCTGTTCATTATTGATGTGTGTATCAGTAAATGCTACGTACTTATAAACGCTCTGTTCAACCACGATATAAGTAAAAACCCCATTCCACTATAGCTTCTATGAGTGACCGTCAGTTATAAGTTTGACTTCACCATATGCATATATATCGAAATCCAGAGCTGCCATGTAATCAGCTGGCTAATTTTTTCAGATCTCCTCATATTCCTTTCAGATTCCCTCATTTTCAGATCTCCTCACTTGGAATCTCCTCGCAATAATTTAACTCATATTCAGTACGCCAAAAAATGGGAAATAACGGAAGAATCCGAAAAACGAACTCATCATTTGCACTTTCAATAGCTATTTAAGAGCACTTTTATGGCTACCGAATAGAATGCTTGCTGCTTGCCTGCTTACTTCGACTACATCGGATATTACATTAAAGGAAATTGACTGGAAAAAGCCAAGATATTGCCTCTGCAATGAACTCATATTGTCCTTGCACGAATATTTTATGATCGAAAACTGC